AGCTCAGCTCGGACTGGGAATCGAACCGGCGACCCTGTTGCTCAGAGCTTGCACTCTTCAGGGAGTTCTTAACCAACTGAGCCACTCGGCCAGTCCCTGAAAGAGGCCCTTTGACAACTAAATGCTACTGTGATAAGGGGGAAAACAGCCATAAACAACCTTTCAGAGACAGTTGGGGAAATTTGAGTATAGACTGTGTATCAGATGGTATTATTGAATTAATGTTTATTTTCTTACGTGTGGTAGTGGTATTCGGGTTATTGTCTTGGCTCAGGCTGCTGTAACAAACTACCACAGACAGAGTGGCTTATGAACCACAGAAATTGACTTTTCACAGTCCTGGAGGCTGGGAAGTCCAAGACAAGGCACCGGCAGCTTCACTGCCTGGTGAGCCCACTTCCTGCTCCATAGTGCCTCCTCCTCTCTGTGTCCTCACGAGGCAGAAGGGGCCAGGGAGCTCCTTGGGGTCTCTTTTATAAGGGCACTGATCCCACTCATGGGAGCTCCACCCTCATGACCTAAGCGCCTCCCCATGCCGCACTTCCAAATACTATGCCATTTAGGATTAGGTTTCAACCTAGGAATTTTGCGGGGGGGACAAAACATTCACTCAATTGCAATTATATAGAAAAATGTCCCTCTTCTTAGGAGGTGCAGGCCAGAGTATTAAGGAGTGATGTGTCAGGATTTCTGCAACTTGCTTATGATGATTTAGCAGGAAAACTGTGTGTGTGAGTGTGGAAAGACAGAGAGAGGGAGAATAGATACTGCACAATGCTAACAGCTAACAGTTGGCCGATTTGGGTGAAGGGAGTATGGTGTCTCCTGTACTACTGTGTCAACTTTTCGACGTTGGGCTCCTTCGGGACACAGGGCAGGGGAACGAATAGTATGCTGTGCCGGGAGCCCGCTGAGCTTGGCCGTTTGTGTCTTCAGTTTGCAGCTCTCCGCCCATCCACATGAAGGTGCAGCCTCTGAACCAGACGGCCCTGCAAGTGTCCTGGAGCCAGCCTGAGACCATCTACCACCCACCCATCATGAACTACATGATCTCCTACAGCTGGACCAAGAACGAGGATGAGAAGGAGAAGACGTTTACAAAGGACAGCGACAAAGACTTGGTAAAGCCTTCCTGTTCCCAGCCAGGTGCCTGCTGCCCTTGCAGTTAGGAGAAGGGCCCCTGTCATGTCTCTGCCAGGCATTGCAGGTGGCTTTATCTGTGTAGCCCCAGCCTCTCGCTGCCTCCTGAGGGCGGGCACTGCCACGGGCTCTGCTGCGGTGTGTAGCTACCAGTATGAGCTGTGGCCAGTGCCTGCCTGGGCACCATCCCGCCCTCACACGGAACCAACCAGCCAGCACCACCAGGAGAAGCTAGTTCATTTATTTCTAATTAGGCCGTCAAAACTGACTCCTTTTTCTTTCGTTGTTATAAAACCAGAAAGCCTCTGGTGAGCCCTTTTCATCTGATGGGGTTGTTGTAAATATTAAATGTTACATAAATGTGTCACAGGTCTGACACATGGCAAGCACTATGTAAGTACTAGCTATTATTATCACAGTGATTCCTCCTCCTCCTCTTCCCTCCTGCTATTGTCACCACCACCATGCACCTGTCCTCAGTCCCCACCATTCCCTTTGTCACATTTGATCTGCCTCACACTTTCCTACCTGCTGGATCCTGTGACCATGTAATTTTTAACCACTGTTCTCAGACTCTCAGACAGCGTAATATCTGATTTCACTTTGAGCTATACATGCCCAATTCCATGCCTCACCTTAAAATTTGCATAAATCTTTAGTGGCCAATACCCAACAAAGCCCTTCAGAACAGGTGTTTGCAGAAGCCAGCTTCTTCCCCTGTAAAAGCAAACCCTCCAACAAGCACTAGTCTTTAAGTCTTTGCGTAGAAACTCAATGTGACACATTTGGGGTTGAAAGCCTTTGCTTTTTATATTTAATCAAAGGAAAGCTTTAGAATAATGAAATTCGTAATTGTATATGCCCATGAAAAGTGCAATTGCACAGAGTGGGATTCTTAATGACTTTTATCACTTTGTTTTTTTCTCCCAATACAGAGTCCCCAAAGCCCATTCAATCAGTTACAGAATAATACTTCCCATATTCCTTTAGATGAAGATTCTTTTACTTCATTTCCATTTATATTTTCAATTTCCCCACTAGACATTGTTATCTGGGTCACATTAGAGAGTGATGAGCTTCATGAAATCAGAGAGGAAGCTATTGAAAGTTACCCAAGGTTATGATGTATTTTAACCTTTCTGTTGTCACTACTGGAAGTCCATAAGGGATTTTTCTCTTTCTGAAATGAAGATGGCTTGCATTAATCAGCAGAAACTATGTAGGTGCTTAGGCAGTTTCTTGTTCTAAGTGGAAAATAATTAAACATGCAAAGATGAATAGATAGCGGCTTGCAGTGAATTCTAATAAATCCCCGCATAGATGGAGGGAAGATTTTGCTCTGAACAGAAGACGGGGTCAGAGGTTTAGAGAATGAGGCATAAATTAGTTTCAGAGAAAGAGAGAGTGTAGAGAAAAACATGCTTTGACAGCAAGTTCTTTTTTATAAGAATTTCTGGGGGTAGTTCGTTTCTTTTGGGACACACAAAATTAATTTTCTTCATTCCTCAAGAAGTCAAGCGTGCTGACTTAGTGGCAACAAAGCTGTTCTCTAACTGATGGTTATTGTAGCCCAGAAACAGAAGCCTAAAAGTAATACTCACATGGGTGCAGCATTTTCCAATGTGCATGCCTTGTCTACATCCTCACTGCAAACCTGTGGGGCAGATGTTACTACCACCTTCTCCAAAAGAGATAAATGAGGCTTTAAGTTAAACAACGTGACCCCAACCTACTGCTCTCACCAGGAAGCAGTTTGCTAGGCAATGGCAGCAGGTGTGGCCACAATAACATTTTAATGCCTGGTCAGAGGTTTTCAATAGCTGCATTGGGAAAACCTACTCAGCGGTTAAGCTCCCAGAGCTGCTTTTTCTACTTGGCCCAGAATACACATTTTGATGACAAGACATTTCATCCATTAGAGAAGTCTTTGAAATCAGTTGCTTTTGTTGCTTGTTTCTACACAAAGCAAATGCTGTCTGCTTTTTTAAGTAGTTTCTGTTTTCTCATTTTTAAAGGCTCTTGGAATAAAGCTTTGAGCAATAGGGACCTGGATTTGGCAGATGTCAGATGACTAGGGACTAGCAAACTTTTTCTAGAAAGGGCCAGATAGTAAAGATTTTAGGCTTTATGGGACATGAGGCCTCTGTGGCAACAACCCAGCCTTGCCGTTGTAGGGTGAGAGCTGCCATAGACAACATGTAAATGAATGGGTGTGGCTGTGTGCCAGTAAAACTTTATTTACAGAAACAGACAGGGGGAGGAGTTGGCCTGTGAGCTGGAACTTGCTGGCCCCTGTGTTAGACCAGGGGCCTTCTTCCTGTTTCATGGTATGGACGACCAATGAACAAGATTTGCCTAACCTATGTTACCTAGCTTTCACAAGAACCCTGTGAGGTAGCTGTTCCCCTCCCCACTTTACAGTTGCAGGTAGCAGAGGCCAACGATATTGAGCAATGGGCTCAGAATCACAACTGATGAGTGGAGTAACAAGGCTAGATCTCACGTCATCTGACCTCTAACCAAATGTCCTTCCCAGCATCATGCCCCATGTTATCCATGGTTCAGATACAATGAGGCCTTTAGACTGCAAAGAAACAGACACACAGAGGTGTTGTTGCTGATGTTCTAAACTCTGTGTGGCTCTGGAAATACAGTGCACTTGATAATTATAAGGGTAATCTGGAGTAAATAATTATAGTCTATAAGGAACAGTAGTTACGAAAGAAGTCCAAACCCTGTGAGTCTAAAAAGGGCTGAAGATACAGTCCAAGCCATAGACAAGAATACGAGTCAAGACTGATTGTTACCTTTCATAGCCTGCACATTTCAGTGGTGAAAACAGATTCCCAAGTAAGGTTATTTCTGGCCGCTCTTTCCTTTCAAAGTGAGCCTTTAGTCAGTGTGAAAGCATCATGTCTGTCTGGCTGTGACATGGCCCCCCAAAATCTAAAGTAATATAAAACATTACTCTAGGTTTGGCTTAAGAAGGTAAGTGTGTACAGGCCTTCAGACCAACTCACTGCCTCTTTCTTCCCCTGCAGAAAGCCACCATTAGCCATGTCTCTCCTGATAGCCTTTACCTGTTCCGTGTCCAGGCTGTGTGTCGGAATGATATGCGCAGCGACTTCAGTCAGACGATGCTCTTTCAAGGTGAGGCCAGTTTCCCTTCTCATCCGGCCTGGAGTGCCCCGAGCCCTCCGTTGTGCTTTGTCTTTTTCTTATCAAAGTGCTTGGACAGAAGACATGACGTCTGGTCTAAGAGTCAGTGTGGGGTTTTTAAACCGCACTTGAAAAGCTTCAGGAATTGAGGCCGTCTTTTAGGTTGGGGGTTTCATAGGCCAGAGGAGGGAAGAAGAACACAGTGTTGGTTTTATGATGATTGTTGTTATTTTCCAACTGTGGAGAAATAAGTATTTGTCTAATGCCGAGTCCTCTCACAAAATTGCCTCCTAGTTGTGTTGTGGAATGTCCTCTTGGATTTCTAGCATGATTCCAGAACTAGAGCCCAGACAGATGCGGCTCACCCTCCCAGCTGGCAAGCCACACAGACAGCCCCCCTGCTCATGGGATCCTTGAACTTCTTGAGAAGTAGATAGACGTACGTTCCTCCTGATTTGGGGACTATTAGAAAGTTCTAGGGCCAGGACTAGGGTGAGGCAAGAGAGGCATTCATCTTGGCGAAAAATTTAAAGAGGCACCAAAAACAAAACAAACTCAGTAATTGAGATTAATATTTTAATGGAATATTTTTAGAAGCAAAATCAAGTTTTAAAAATTATGAACAAAATATCAGAATTTTAAATAAAGACAAAATCCACTCTGTCCTACTTGCCCTAACCCAGTCCCAGTCCTAGTTCCAATAAAACTTTATTTTGCAAAACTGGGCAGCCAGCCTGTGGGCCATAGTTGCAGACTTGGTTTTGTGATATGCCCAGAGTCCAGCATGGAGGGTGGGACCAGGGCATCAGGCTTTACTCTTCCAGCCTGAGGGTCCTCTCCGATGGGTCCTCAGTTTCGGAGAATCCTACATACCAGGCCAGTGGTTCTTAACCTTTTTGAGTCATGTATCTGAAGAAAGCTTTTCCCTAGAAACTGTGAATCGTGCATACAATTTCAGGGCCCTGTAGAGCCTGTACGCTGTGGAAGCCTGTACAGCTGCAGAAGCATCGTTAGGAGGCCTGTGAGAAATGCACATTCATGGGCCCCACTCCGATCAATTTCCTCAGAATCCCTGAGGGCAGAGCCCAGGAATTTGAGTTTGAACCAGATGGCCCAGGTGCCTGGCTTGCACATTGAAGCCTGCAAAGTTCTGGTTTAGAGCTGGGGCCCTGGAACGGGAGGCCCACGTTGGAGTCCTGGCTGCACTTAGTATCTCTGCAACTCTGAGAATGTTTATTATAATAGTTTTCTAAGCTGCACTTTCACAGTCCAAAATGCAGTCATACTAACAGTAGCGACCTCACGGGGACCGTACAGAATGACATGAGGTGATGCATGTGAAATAATTCACATAAGTGTCTGTACCGACTATAAATATCCCCTTACTATTAGTTTTGATATAAAAAATAATAAATGATGAACCCATAGTTAAAAGCCCTCTATCCTAGCTTCCCTCCAGGGATCCCTTCTGGCTTTACAGTTTTGCATTTAAATATTCTTTGCTAATGTTCATATTATCTCATCCTTCCTTTTAAATGAATTGAAATTAGCATGACTGTATCTTTTCCACAAATAGGCTCATGTGTCTACTACCTGTGCCCTGAATGTATTCGCCCCTTTGCCTGGGTTGGGGAGGGACCCGGCCGAGGCCAGGTCTGCGCCAGCCCAGGATAGAGAGAACAGGAGGCCAGAGTGGGTGCTTGCTGAGGCCGGGGCCCTGGAACCTAGGACTCATAAATCATGATTAGGCCTCCCATGTGCTCCGACCAAGAGCCTGGAATCTGCAGAACTGCCTTTCCTGATTAATAGGCTCCCTGAGCTTGCTGGCTTCTGCATGGACTTTGAGAAATTAAATGTTTGTAATGTAATATAATTCAAAAAGGCCTTGTCAGCCATAAATTCTAAGCACGGAATATTTAAAATGTCTGATCATAGTGACTTGTTGAAAATGGCCAGTGTTTCCTTTGTTCACAGACTTTCTCTGTTCAGGGGTGGACATGAGTTTGCTCACTTTATATGTCAGTTTGTCCCCATATGTTGACAAAGGGGCATGCACCCTTCAGTCCTCCCTTGATGGCTTTAGCATCTTCCCTACAGCACCCTGCAGTGGGCAGTGTAAAAACTAAATCTTAACTGAGGTAAGCCGACTTACCTGTTGTGGTGAGCCAAATAGGAGTTTTTGAGCAGTAGACGCCGGTGTACAAAAATGACCCACTATTAGGCCTTAAGTTGCAAAAGGGAAAGGAGAAAAGCTTACCCAATTTCGCGGAAATCTTGTAGGGAATAATTAGGTTTCCCAGTGATAAAGTTTACATCTGGTTTGGGAGCATGAGGAAGCCACATGGAATATTCACCTTATCGTTGTAAATATACCAATATTTACGTTCTCTATAACACAATAAGTATGTTTGTGCTCAATATAATGACAGTAATAATGGCAACCAGTATCTATAGGATGGGCCATACCTACTGAGCATTTGCCCATAAGTTATTGCATCTGACCTCGTGGCAGTTTGTAATATAGGTGTTATCTTACAAATTGGAAAATGCTGTTTGGGGCAGTTGAACAACTTGTGAGAAATCACTTGGCTGCTAAGCCGAGTTTGGATTTCTTATTCCAAAGCCCAGTCATTTATACACAGCAATGGACCACCTCCAAAGAGTAAATATTACCTACATCCCCCAGCCTTCCACAGCGGGATAAAAATACTGATGACTGAGTATTCAAAGCCTTTTTGCAACTCTCAACAATCATGGAAAATGGGGTTCTTGAGCTTTTTCTTTGAGCAACGGACCTGTTAGGCAGCTTGGTAAAGCTCACTGAGCCTCTCTAAAAGTGGTTTAAAATAAAAAAAGTGAAATACATAGGAAAGGAAACCAATTCTGTTAGATACAGTTGTCAAAATATTTTAAACAAACAAATTTGGAATGTAGTGATATATGTGCTTTTTTGTTAAAGTATTAAATGACAAGTGGTGGGTCTGTTAGTGGCTGTGATTTCTGAGTAATGATGAACAGAAATGATATTTAAAAATAGCTACAACTGTGAGGCAGTATGAAAATAACTGATTTCAATCAGAGACAAAGTCCCAGGCCCTGTTAGTGCAGCTGAGATTGTTACTTGCGTTCACAGTGGGTGGAAGGGTTACATCTCAGTGAGAGCTTAGTGACAATGCGGGGGTCATTTTTTCCCTGTCCCTGAATTCCATGAGGTCCACGGGCCCAGGTTAAGCACTCCTGACCTGAAAGGTCCTGTAGAACCTTCCTAATCACCACGGCCAGAACTGACCCCTCTGGAAATTAATGAATAGCAGGCATGCTGATGGGAGTGGCTGTCTAGTTTGTTGGCCTTAATTAGAGCCTTTTGTAAAGGGCAGGTGAAGCAGGTCTCCTGGGAACCTTTTTTCCTGCCTTAACAAAGGGAGGTGCATATACCTGTCTGAGGCAGTGCAATATCAATCCTGGAGCAACTAAATGATGGTAGGAGGTTGTTTTTAGTCCTGGGGGAGAGCCATTCGCTTCCTAGGCTGCCTTATTTGATCTGGTTGTTATTGACTTCTAGATTGGTTTGTTCTCCACATTTGTCTCTCTGCACATTTCACTTTCCAGCTATGCAAAATGAATACAAGGTTAGGTCAGGGGCTGCAAACTCAGGTGCCCCTGAGGCCAGGCAGGGAACATGTGCAAATGAGGGGAGGACTGTCAGGTGCGCAGTTGAGATCATGTGCCCACTGAAAGGGGGTGACGGACACTAAGCCCCGGCCACATGTTGTCCTGCAGGAAGGTGCACTCAGTTTTGCCAAATTTTCTGATTTTTCAGGATAAGCAGGAAATTAAGATTTTTAGCTAAGCTACTAAAACTACTTGTAAACTACTATTTTTTATAAGCTAGTGTTTACAGTGTTTACAAAGCTATTGTTTATAATGGCAGCAAATTCAGTTTTTTTAAAATAGCTCGCAGGCCAAACAGTTATGTCCGTCACTTGCCACTTCTGGTTTAGATAAAAACAACAGCAGGTACAAATATTATTTATTTTGGTATTTAGCATCTTTTGCGAATTTTTCAGTGCCATGTATATACCGGAAGCAAACTCTTAGTTTATATTGCACTATTGGTTCTTGAAATAATGACAAAGAAGCACTTTGATATATTTTTTGTTGTTGTTATACAGTTTAGCATTATTCACAACAGCGAAAGGTGGAAACAACCCAAACATCCATCAATAATGGATGGTAATGGGTAATGTGGTATACCTATACCTACAATGGAATATTATTCAGCCTTAAAAAGGAAGGAATTTCTTCTGACTTATGGTACTTCAGGAATGAACCTTGAGGACATTATGCTAAGTGAAGTAAGCCAGTTACAAAAAGACAAATATACGGGGGTGCCAAAAAAATGTATACACAGTTTATATATTACTTTTTGAAGTTGAATTATGTAACAATGTATAGTGTGACATTCACTCAAAAGATGTTAATCAAATGAATGCTGGCAACATTCATTGTATTACAATTTTAATACACAATTTTAATACAGTGTTTCTCCTTTAATGAGATGTGTATACACTTTTTTGGCACCTTCTGTGTCTGACTCCAGTTATATGAGACACCTAGAGTAGTCACTTATCGAAACAGAAAGTGGAATGGTGATTGTCAGCTGAGAGGAGGGCATTGGGGAGTTGTCTAATGGGTACAGATAAGAAAGTTCTGGAGCTGCGTCACACAACAGTGCGAATCTACTTAACACTACTGAACTGGACACGGAAAAGTGGTTCAGGTGGTAAGTTTTCTGATATATGTGTTTTACCACAAACATTTTTTAAAGCTATGTTGTTTAATAACATGTGGGTGAACAGAACTGCGGGAAGGAATACACGCCTGGAAGAATAACATGTGGTTCATAGGAAAGAATTTGACCATTTAAAGCAACGATAGGTTTTAAAACTTGAGCAGACATAAAATATGACAATACACAAAAAGTGAGGCAGGCAAATAGAATTAAATAATTGTATAATTCTTACATTTTAGAAAGTATTTAAAAGTGTTAATTTAAGGTAAACTGTGATAAGCGTAGGATGTTTATTATAATCACTGAAAGGATAATATAAGCAATTATATCCAAGAAGATAATAGAGAGGAACGATGAACTAATAGGACTCCATGTATATGAAGTTCAAAACTAGAACTCTGACAGAGGTCAGAATGATGGATACCTTCGGGAAAGGGAGGGGAGTGGGTATTGAGTGGATGGGGGCACGTGCCAACCTGCTGGGTGGCTGGCGGATGTCTGTGTCTCAGTATGGGTGGTAGTTACATAGCTGTTTACAGAAGTAAAAATTAATTGGACTGCACAGTTAAGATTTGTACATTTTATTGTAGGTAAGTTTTTCCTCAATAAATCAGAGAGCAATAACAATTTAAAATTTTTTAAACTATTCACTTAAGACAAGATGCAGCAAACTGGCCCACAGATGAGATCTAGCCCCCTGCATCTTTTTTAATGACGTGTAATCTAAGAAGAGTTTTACATTCTTAAGTGGTTGGAAAAAACACTAAAGAGGAATAATGTTTCAAGACATGAAAATTATATAATTCCAATTTATGTAGATAAGTAAATTTGGGGAGGGAACAAAAGCAACAAAAAAATTCATATTGTTTACAGCATAATTTCTTTGTTTCTCAGCTAACACCACTCGAATATTTCAAGGGACCAGAATTGTTAAAACAGGAGTGGTAAGTAGAGAATGGTAATTGCTTTGTCATAGATGGTTGTTAATTTGCATGCAGTTAAAATTGTTCCCACAAGGTGGCAGTATGATGTTGTTAAACTACTTAATGTGAAGAGGTTAAAATACAGAAAAAATTACATTCACTTTTTATAATTCAATACATTATGAAAACAAGCAGTAGTGTTACACAGTATAATTCTTGTCAAGGTAAAAATTCTCCATATTTTTAATTATTTGTAGGATCGTAGGATGTAGGAACTGCTCCAAGTCTTAAGTTGGACATATGCTAAAATTCAGAGGTTGTCATTTGCCCAAAGTTACATGGATTTGCAAATTCCTGGAACCTTCCCATTTCTAGTGCAATGAAATATAATGTTAATCACATCATTGGTAATAACAATAATAGCCTAAAATTTACTAAGCATTTCCTGGGTTTCGGGCCCAGATTATTTTATTATTTCGTTTACCCCTCACAGCATCCCACAAGATTGGTGTTACTATTATTCCCATTTGATGGCCGAAGAAACCGAGGCCCAGTGAGTTAACATAATAGGCCCAGCATCACTCAGAGAGCAAGTGAGGGGTCATCGACTGAAGCCTTGACCTCACTGACTCAAGTGCCTTGTCTTACGTGGCATCTGGCATTTCATTAACCAACTTCAGAACTCAACATTTGCTAACTCGATCGTCCTTAAACTATAAACTTTTCAAACTAAAACTTGGTGATAAAGTTCTGGCTATATTGCTTTGAACTGTATAAAGAATGGGTTAGAATCTGGATTTTATATATCAGGTTATAAGAGCTAAAACTCATAACCCAGAGTGACGCTTCTAATTTTCCTCAGGTACCGTATGTGGGTACAGTCCCACCATCGAGCCCCAATTTAGTATGGTGGGGAGAATGAGTTGAGGCTTGGACACAGGCAGCCCTGCCTCAGCCCCTTGACGTCTCTGTGCCTCAGGATCCTCCTCTGTAGAACTGGGTGATGATTATGTGTGCCTCCAGGGCAGCACGGGAAGTCCCGGCACATAGTTGGCAGTTGTTTAGTGGAACTCTGATTTTGACATGTACATGGGCAAAGATGTTGCCATGGGTAAACCCAGATACTGCAAGGTACAGCACCTGTCCTGTGCACGACGTGGACATTCAGGGTTGTGAACAAGTCCCCAAGGCCTGCAGTGTAGCTGGCCGCTTTCCCTCTCTGTCCATCCACTTCCGCATTGTCCAGCGGCAGAACTAGCTCCTGGAGGGCCTTTCTGCACCTAAGAGCTGGGTGTTCTCCACAAGTATGAGCGCTATCTAAAAAAGCAAGGCCTCTTGCCTCGCCCAGTGTCACCCAAGAACAGGTGACCATCTGATATTGCCAATTTATTGCTCATTTGATGTTTTACTTTCAGCCAACTTTAATGCTACTTTTGCCACTTAGCCTCCTCCTGAGCCATATCAGTGAAACGTTGGGTTTGATACACTAGTTAAAAGTAATTGTAAAACCGTTAAGACCCGAGATGGTCATCCATGGATTACCTAATGTCATTTTTGACATCATGCTTTGGGAAACCCCATGAGTGAAGTAAAAAACCAGTACAACCCTGTGAGGGTTGTCACCAGGGCCTTATTCCCGGTCCTCATGCCTGACACTTCTCTGCTTTCTCTTCCTTTGTCCTTTCTCCCATCCTCGCGGGTGACCCTTTCAAGCCCACAGCTTCTCCTGCCTCTTCCGCCGACATGGCCCCCATCAGCTCGGGGTCTTCGACCTGGACATCCTCTGGCATCCCCTTCTCATTTGTTTCCATGGCGACTGGGATGGGCCCATCCTCCAGCGGCAGCCAGGCAACAGTGGCCTCGGTGGTGACCAGCACGCTCCTGGCCGGCCTGGGCTTCAGCGGTGGCGGCATCTCCTCCTTCCCCAGCACCGTGTGGCCCACGCGCCTCCCCACGGCAGCGTCGGCCAGCAAGCAGGCCGGGAGGCCAGTCCTGGCCACCACAGAGGCCGTGGCTTCCCCAGGCCCGGACGGCGACTCAGCGCCGACCAAGGACAACGAGGGCACCGAGGAAGGGGAGAAGGATGAGAAAAGTGAGAGTGAGGACGGGGAGCGGGAGCATGAGGAGGAGGGGGAGAAGGACTCCGAGAAGAAGGAGAAGAGTGGGGTGATGCACGCCGCCCAAGAGCGGAACCAGACCAAGCCCTCCCCCATGCCCTCGTCTCCCAATAGAACTGCCAAGGAGGGGGGGCATCAGACTATACCTGGGCCCGGGCAAGACCGCCCTGCCGTCCTCACTGACCAGCCCGCTGACACAAGGGATGCCGACCGTGGCCTGGACTCCAATTCGGTCACCTCCACCCAAGTGCCCCCCACAGTCACAGAGGAACATTATGAAGGGAGTGATCCTGAGAGTCCTGAAATGCCATCTAAAAAGCCTATGTCCCGAGGGGACCAATTTCCTGAGGATAGCAAATTTATCACTGTTAATCCAGGTAAGTGGCCCGTCCTCATTTTAGGCTCCATGATGCTGTGAACAGTCTTGCCCTTTAAAAAATAATTGGGGTAGGGTGTGAGGAACCAGAAAGTGCTTAATATTCCTGGAATGGTATATGTCCCCGGCATAAAGTGTGTGTGTGTGTGTGTGTGTGTGTGTCTATGTCTATATATATATTTTATTCCAATAAGAATAACCTGCTTTCTTATTGTTGCTGAAATAGCCTTGCCTTGATATTCGTTTCTTGGTAAAATTTACTTTCCTCAGAATAACTCCAAGGAATTCAACCACATAATGAACTAAATGAATAAAGAAGACATCAATCTTAAGAAATTTGTTCATTAAGATGTAATTTTTTTTTTTTTTAAGATTTTATTGGGGAATTTGTGGGAGGGGAACAGCGCTGGGGAATTGGGGGAAGGGGAACAGACAAGTTGCTGTCCTTTTGTTCTTCAGTCTAGTTGTGGAGGACATTGCTTCACTGGCCCAAGTTGGTATCATCATTGCGCTCTTCCCGGGTGAGGCAGATCAGTCACCGGCCACTCACAGCGGCTCTTGGCAGCTCACGCCAGCTGCCGGCAACTCACGGCAGCCCAGCTCCAGGTCGAGCTGTTGTTCACCATCTTAGCTGTAGAGGGCGCAGCGTCACTGGCCTATGTGGGATCCAAACCGGGGCCCTGCTGCTTAGAGCTGGCATCCCAAGCCAACTCCTAACCAACGCACCACTCAGCTGGCCCAAGATATAATTCTTTATTTACTTATTCAACACCTGTATTTCCAGATTGTCTGTTTCGTGCCAGGCACTGGGCTGGGTGCTAAGCCAGGTGAGCACGGTCCCTGCCTCTTAGAAGACAGAGGTGACGGCAGCTAGCTAGAGCACACACCAGGAAGTTAGGAAGCAGGAATGTTCAAAAGCAAGCAAGTTAGCTAGCAAGCCAGAAAACCACCTAACTAATAAAGTTGGAGGTTGTAAAATGGTGACAGAGGAAATAAATAGTGAGAACAGAGAGAAGGGTAGGGACATACCTATCTAAGGCCCCTCTGGGAAAGTGACATTTATCCTGAAATTTAAAGGATGAGAGGCTCCAACATGGTGGGGGGAGGAGCTTGTCCTCACACGATCCCAGCCCAAGAAACAGGGCTGCCTCCCCCAGAGCCCATGTGCTGTATGAATCACACAGTGTATAGGTGGTGAGACCAGGGCATGGCTGGCCAGGCCTCCTCTGTGAAGATGTGTCCCCATCACCTGACTGGTGGCAATTTTGTAGCTCTATTATACGCTCAGATGTTAATGAACCATGCTGATAGTTTCTGCAAGGAAGCCTGGAGCATCAGGGGTTGTTATTGTTGTGAGGGGTTTTCTTAATAAGAAATTCTTCCTTTTGCCAGACTACAAGATGTTTAGCAACAATTTTTGCATCTAAGCTGTTGTGGAGTTATAAGAGTGCGCAAAAAAAAAAAAAAAAGCAACTGGTAAATATTTATTTGCTTTTGCACTTGTAAACATTAAAATTCATCTAAAGCTGAGATCTCGTATGTTAAGATACAACTTAGAATAAATTTTCATGTTTTGAATTATGTTCCTCCTTGAAACTGGTATGGACTTGTGTTTTGAAGCGTGGGCTTCCTAGGGGTGTTGCTCATTTGTCCTGAGTTTAGGGAAAGGTGCAGCGTAGCCTTCTGCAGGATCAAGTGAAGGAAATATCGGCCACTTGTGAAACTGTTTGAAGCCATTCCTACATGAACAGTGATACACCCTCTAGGAATTGCTGTGAAAAAGTTGAATTTCTTACATTTGAAGATGTTAAATATTTATGGAGTACCCACTCCTGTGTACCAGGCACTGAAACAGGCATTGGGAATAGAACATAGATCAAGGCAGGCCTCTGTTCTCCTGGGGTTTATGCTCTAGTAGGGGAGCTTGAGATAAACAAACGTGTAACTTCAACAAGTGGTGACTGCTAGAGTTGAGGGAACGACATTTGAGCAGAGACCCACGTGGTGAGAAGGAGCTGGCTATGCACAGACCCGCAGAACAGTGTTCCAGGCTGCAGGAACTGCAAGTCCAGAGGCCGTAATGTGGGATCAACATGCGGCACGCGAGGAGCTCTCAAAAGGCCAGTGTATGTGGACCACAGGGTCGGGAGGAGGCAGGGACGGGCAGCGCTCGGATCCGGAAGGGGCTCATCAGCCATGCTGAGGATTGGATTCTGACTGCAGTGGAAAACCAGGGCTGCATTTCCGCAGGAGACTTCCTCCTCAGAATGACTTTTTTGAAAGATCGGGCCTCTGTGTGGGGATTATAAAGAATGCACTTGGGAAGCCCAGGTGGGAGGTGACGGTGGCTTGGACCAGTGTGGTTTCCCTAACAACAAATGGTGGACCTGGAACTGATGGTCCAGCTTGAGTGGTTCCGCCTCTGAACTGAGGGCTCTGGCAGAGTAGTATTCTCAGGCGGCTCCCCCCAAACAGTCCTTTGCCCACACTCCAGAGAAAGATGGCTGTTAAGAGCTTAGGTTGGGAGTGTTTACACCTTGAGAGACTGGAGAGGAGTGGGGACCTGGGGCAACATCCAGTGCATGGAAATGCGTCGTTGAGATTTGAGTCCAATTCCAGGTTCCAGGGAGAGGGGAGGAGAAACGTTGGTAAGCGTTGGGGAGTCCCAACTTCAGGTGTGTGGCTGGTGGGTCTCAGCTTCAACTGTCAACTGTCAGTGTCTGTGACCTCGGCAGGGTAGCATTTGGAGTCAGGTCCCCTCTGTAGGCTCTGCCCCTTCTTCTCTCAGGGTCCTCAGGCCCGTGTTGGCTCAGTGTCCTCTGTAAAGTGGGGGTGATGATAGCCTTAGTGCAGAAGGAGGTGCAGGAAATGGAGTCCGCCTGCTGTCGGTGACGAGGAAGGGTAAGCAGTCCACAGGCCACACCGTCGCAATGGCGACTATGAGCAAACCCCTAGAGGTCTTTGATTTGCATTCATCCCTGGACATTAAAGAGCATGACAAAACTGTGGTCCCCAATGAGCTGGCATTAAAAATAACCTCCAGGAATTCTGCTCCATTCCCAACACTGGTGAACCAGAGCGTCTCCCTCACCACCTTCATTTCAGTGGGAAGGTTCATTTCCTCCCAAGGCAAAAAGGGATCTTCTTTAGAATTTCAGGCAATTCTAATTGGAGAGTGTGGGTGGTGACTGGTTAAAGCCAGATCAGCAAACTTTTTCTGCAAAGGACCAGATAGTAATATTTTCAGCTTTGTGGCCATAGGTCTTTGTTGCAACTAATCAAGTCTGTTATGTGGCACAAAAGCAACCAAAGACAATACATAAATGAGTGGATGTGACTGAGTTCCAATAAAACTGTATTTGCAAAAACAGACAGTGGCCCTGAGTTGATCTGTAAGCCCTCATTTGCCAAGCCCTAGCTTAAGCAGAAATATGTCTGTGCCCATTGGACAATAAAGGATGTGAGTAACTTGAGGGTAAAACCCCAAACCCCACATCAGCCCATGATCACCAGGGTCTCACCTCAACTTCCATCCTTCCCGTTCTTTCCCATCTGCTTCCTTCAGCTTTGTATTTTTTTTTTCTTTTTAGCTGAGCCATCCTGCCACCTGTTGTTGGCAGCTCAGCTCAGGCCGGGCATTGAACCGCTGTTGCTCAGAGCTCACACTCTTGAACGAGCTCTTAACCAACTGAGCCACTCAGCCGGCCCTCATATATTTTTTTAAGAAATAAAATCGCCATCATTTTTATCTTAGTTGTGACTTATTTTAAAGACTTTACATGTGCATTTATTAAAATCTGTTCTATATTTATTATTATTTTCACATTAAGTAAAGACAATGGATTTCAATCAATATTTAGTGTCTTTGTAAAAAGCATCAATGTTTAGATTACAAACTGATTTTACCAGCATCTCCAAAAGGCTTGTTTAAATTCACTTGACATTTGATAACATCCTTTCAAGTCCTGTGAGTAATAGCTGTAGCATATTAATTCACCGGGAAGGAGAAAAGGGGCGATCCTTCTGTAGAACAAATGGCAAACTCAGACACCTACAGAAATCAGACAGGTAATACCAACGAGAGAAGAGGACCAGGTGTTAGACATTAGGGAGAGGTGGGGACTGCAGCAAACTAGAGAACACACGTCCTTTGTAAAGAGGGCCACCTCACTCAGTTCCCACTGATGACAGCTGGTGAGCCAGAAACCCAGGTCTCTGTGCACAATCTTCTTCACATGTGCCGCCAGATAGGTAGGAACCTCTGGTGCTTAGCCTCAACTGTAGAGTTGATTGCTGTAGATGCAGCTGCCCTAGAAGCTGATCAGAAGGCTTGAGGCCTATGTGCCATCACTCCGTCTCTCACCAAGGCCTTTGCTAGCATGTGTTTCTTGTGAATCCCTCAGTGGCATTTGTGCTGCATGGAAAGCCGGCATGTTTCTTCCCTCAGGAGCCACAGCCTGAATGTGGTAGAGCCACCTTCCCCCCACAACCCACAGCCCCCACCCCCAGAAGCCAATTGATGCAAGAGAACATTCTTGCAGCAGTTGGGGTCAGGATAGCATGCCTTGGCACCTCAGGGTGGGTGTAGTCTACAAACTCATCACCTAGTGCTGGAGTTTTCCTTTTTTATTTCCTTAAATCAGGGAAATTCCTTTTTCAGACTGAAACTTGCTCAGAACCCCACTATATAAATAATGGTTCACTGAAAGCTTGCCGACTGCCTCCCCTGGGTCATCCCTGAGCTGGGTGCTAAAGGGATGGCCCAGTTCTGGTGTCAGCAAGCTAGTCTCTAGGCCAAGGAGCTAAGTCCGGCCCAAGAGCTAAGAATGGACAGCGCTGGTCAGAGACCTGCAGCCGCTGTTCTATTGTACTTTAAGCCACAGTGGAGGGTGCTAAGCTCCAGCCACCTATCTCCTTTGGGAAAACCCTAAGGTACCTCTTTGCTCTCAAGCTCTAAGGAACCCAGCTTGAAAACCTTTGATTATAGAAACAATAACATCA